CTTCCAAACCACTGAGCTGTGGACGAGTCTCAATACATGATTGCTGAGCGAACTCCCGCGTATTGAATTGTTCGAGAAATGAAGAATTCAATACGCGGGAGTTCGAGAAATGAAGAATTGGATTAAACATGATCTTTGCACTACCGTTGTTCCAAGTTTACTTACAATGCTGCCCCCGTGCATGTGCGTCAACATGCCTACTCGGGATTGGGTCTATAGCGGTCTGACCTAATTCACCATACCAAGGAGGTAAATCACGACAGGCCACACGTAACCTGACATTTCCATCTTAAGCTGCACAACTCAACGCGCACGCACAGAATTTCCAAGACGTACGTTAGATTTTCCCTGGAAATATCCTTAGGAGATTATTTTGGGTTCAAACACTCTGACGACACCCGACTCGCCCACCAACCATCAGAACAATAAATCCGATAGACATTGTGACAGGCACGTGAACAGCTCGGGACGGATGTCATCACCATCATCATCATTGTCAGCTGTAAGAACCGCGCACTTGTCGTACAGCGATTGTAGCTACCACAAATTCGTTCACCGATGATTTGGGAGGTGAGGTAGGTAGCTGCGCATTGGATGCGGGAGCTGATAAATCAGCATTGTCAGTGGACTGTAGATAGTGTGAGAACGGAATTGACGACTGTTCAAAGGGTCGAGGTGTGAACATAGAAGGTATGGCCAAATCAACACAGAAATGTACGTGAGACCACGTTGAAGACGCTCAAAACGATTTTGACAACTCACGACCGGTCTCATCCTTCTTCGGGCGAAGTTCCCCAGTTTCCTTTAACCCAAAGTATGCGCATTTGGGCAGTTATACTTATTTGCAAACTGGTTTGTTTTAACGGAGGACTCAACTGGAACCAAGCTGAGTCTCTAGTCCGTATTTTGTAAACGTATGTTCAATAAGTCACATGAAAAAGTAACTGATTGGGAAGAGGGTGAGAAGTTGAAGTGGAATGCGAAGCGTCCATGTTCTGTCCGCTGGCTGTACTGGGCAGTGTTAAATTAATGTCATATACGTTCATTTTGGCATTCAATTAGGGACTTTATTTCGAGGAAACTCTGAGACTACACTTATCTGATGAACTTCAAAAAAACTGAGGCCAGTAGTGGGCCGAGGTAGTGTTATGTTGAAACCCTTTCTCTTGCAACACTCCGGTTCACCTTTATTCGCATGACTCCCTTGCCTAACGAAGAACGCCAATTCTTTGCTGCCGGCTTGTAATTTGAGTGGCATGGAATGCCGCACCAATCGCAGCGCGAATTACCAGCTCTTGGCTGACCTTGTTGATTATATTTTAATGTCAGTCACATGTCACTTGAATGCCACTCTCAGTGCTCCAAGCGTCGAACTCTTTCATTCAACGCATCGGCTGTACATGCTCTGTGAACCTAAAGCCCTCTGAGACTATCGGACTAATTTCGGATATGAGGCTGGAGCTATCGATATCATATAGCGAATTTCTTGAAGCTATTTAAATACATTAACAGTACAAACCCAACGAATGCACAGTTCATTTACTAGGGAAAGATTGTTGCATTCTGTGAGGAGTACAAATATGACCTCCGTTGTTAAATTCATGCACGCATTGCACGTTAAAGTTCAGTAGTTTATGGGCACCGAAAACCAAAGACAGCTTAAGAGGTTTTGCTAATTCTTCTGAGTTCGTTCTCAGCAGAATATGTGAGATGTACAATGCCTGAATCTCCGAAATAAGCTAAAGTCGGATTATACTTTCACTTGGTGGTTTCGTCAGCTCTAATTATCTTAACATTTGTCGTTCGAACAGACGATCGGTCGGAATGTCCCATGTTTTAAGGTACAGACAATTCGTCTAGATGAAAATGGTCCCTTTGGAAAACCCATTAAGACACTCGACTGTTTGAACGCTATGGCAAGTTGTAATCCATATGTGATCTTCTCAAGGTAACGAGACATGAAGACGCTTTTTTATTTGCCTTAGGAAGGTTTGAAACCACTCTGACGATTGTTTCCCGAATGCTTCCGGAAAATTACTTCGCAGTCGGTTCGAGGATGCCCAACTTTCAAGACATTTCCTCTTTTTGAGAAAAGCCATCTCGCACTGAAAAACCGAGGAATGCTGTACATGTGTTTCGTCTCTATTGGGATTCATCAACAATGCGCATTTTACGGGACTCTGAAGCTTTAAACCCCGCTACCTCTTGGCTAGTAGTTTGAACAACCGTTCGGTCGCGAGCGACTGATCGTCAAATGGTTAACTCACACACGACATGCCTCCAGTCATCACCACGGAATTCACATCGCGTGGTCACACGTTGGCTTGCTGCTGGAGTTGTTTTTCGGCATTATCAACAAGCTATAAGTGGCTCAGATGCAGAATCATTCTGAGGATTAGCGATTGCCCCATAGGAGGAGCTTTCGCTCGTGCAGCCAACCGGCATATGAATCCAGTCAGTGACGCATGCAGTGAGAGTTGCTCACAATACTAATCAATGTATCGAAATATTGGTAAATCAGGAGAGCTGGTTGGCTGTAGACCAGGTGGTTGTCGATCTGTCCGCCAAGCCCGGCAATTAATTTGCAAATGTTTCGACAACAATCGTGGGGACATCATGAGTGCATTGTTTGCTAGGAACTTGCTCCTTAGCTGCATTCGTTCATATGGTATTTGAAAGAGCAGTTGATATTTTGATTGGCTAGTTGGGGAACGGCTTTACCGCAATCCCATTGGTTCGTCTAGGACTCCCTGCGTGGGGGACCGCATTCCTTGCATTCGGTTGACCTGTTTAACAGCTTCCTTAGGGTAAATTTTATTGCAGTTTTGATGGGTATGTTGACAAGCCCAGTCCCACACCTAGAACATACCGTCTCATTCAAGTACACCTGTCAGGATCACCCTACAATAAGATGTCTGATAGGCTGAATTCCATATTCAATAAATATGGGAGCTTGTGTAAAAGCACATTTATTCTGTCATATAGAGAACATAACAGGAAATCCAACTGCAAATCGGGCTGCGGCAATCTTGAACACTAGATTTGGTTTGTATCTAGACATGGACCTGTAGATCGGCTTTGAAATACCAGAACATGCATATTTAACTGAGCGAATATGCTGCCTAAGCTTCAGGATTCATCGACCATAGAGTGAAGAGGCCGTCAATATTTCTGTCATTTCCGTACCCAGATTGAAAGGCGATTAGCTTTACTCCAAAGAAATCTCAGTTTACTGATTCAAAACCATTGGCTTTTGATAAACTACAAACTGCAATGTTGGCGGCTTCTTACGTATCGCTTTGCCTGGTCAAACATTCATGCTCCTTACTAGATTACTGTATGATCGGCTATGAGGCACCTGGTGTCAGTCGACCGGTGTTCGTTCGACGCATTGAGAAAAAACAGCTGGGTATTGTTGACTGAATAGTCGAAGTCCAGGGTCGTCTGCAGTGGAATTTCCATCGAGATCACTATTGTTCGCCAGCTTGTAGATCGCTGGTCTCGCGCCAGGTTATGTAGTACCCGGCAGAACCACAGGTTATAAGGACCCGTTCGTCACCCCATCCAGGGTCTATCTGAACTGGTTGAAAATCAAGCCAGATGGACAGTGCAAATGAACAAGCACAACTGCTTCTTGAATGATTATACAGATCTTGATAGGTATCCGAAACTTAGCAAAGAAGGACCGAACCCAATCAACTGAGGAACAGCCGAGACTGTCTGGGACGCCTGAGAAATGAAGGTCTACTTTCTGAAGGCCCATTTCAGCCTTTCGGGCGTTTCGTTGCCATAACCTTATAAATTTGGAACCTGCCGAATGTTCATGAGAAAAACAGCTCATTGAAACATGGATGTATGGTTTTCAGCATCGCGCCATTGCCCAAAGGTTGGTCGAGATTTTATAGTCCCTACCTCAACATTCATCCCCATACAGTATTCGTGGCACCTTCAAGTTTTGTACTCCTTTTACCATCGTCCGACTCGCGCAGTCTACAGGTTTTATCTGTTGTTACGTTATCTCATCAGACATGGCACCAAATATCTGCCATCCGTTTGTGGGAACTATTTTAGGCTGTACTTTTAGCGCACATTTACAATTTAACTCCACATTTCACATACACATCGATGGAGTTGCCATGGTATCTCGTCTTGGTCCCCTTTTAGTGATATGTTTATCGGTAAATTTCGCTGGCAGACTTATTTTTACTGAAGCTACGTACATACTTGTATGCTTGTGTCAAACTTCAATGTAATGCGCGCCCACCTAAACAGTTTTAACCGGGCGTGCCCCTCCATTCAGCCTGCTTTTGAATCCGAAAGTAACAGCTCATTTCACCTAGTGGACGTTATATTTGTCGTATTATCCACGGGTTCGATTCGAAAATCTGCCTACAGATGGCCAGCGTGAAAGGGGCAGTAAAACGCTTCCATTGTTTCGCGTCACTGAAGTTGGGCGAGGTGGCTCAAGTGGTTATATCGTCAATTTACTGACCTGTAGGTCTGTGGTTCAAACCTGACCTCTTTCGCTCGACTTCCCCTGTCTAGGCTTTGGAAACGTGACAGTATACCCGCCCTCGTGCTTTTTTCTGGTGACATGGCATCTAGGTATAGAAAGGGTGCTAGAGCTGAACAATTTATCACTTAATAGGAAGCGCGCCCTGACTTACATTTTCACAAACTGAGCGAGACAAATCTGCTTTTCGGATACCCTGGACTCTGAACTGAAGCACGCTACTAACGTGCTCAGAGCTAACGGTTTCTGAAAGGGATTTATAATCAACAAAATGACTGAACTTCCTCTCCAACAGCCTCTCG